GAGAGGCATAATGTCGTCCAAAACCTCAGATGAAACTATCTCCGTGATTTTATCGTACTGTGCTAGCGGAAACGGGACATCCGACTCCTATAAGTAACAAAAATGACAACCGAAAAAAAAGGATTATGACGAAAGGAAACATTGAAAATCACCAACTTCAATGGTGAAGCCATCCATATAATGAACCAGAGGTTTTCCGCAGCCACCGCCTCGTGCGCGGAAAGCCAATGCTTCCCTGACAAAGATAGATTCTAAAGATTTGGCAGCATCCGAGACCGGTGGAGGCGACGGATCGTCTACAGAATCTCCTGTAAAAGAATTTATATGAACAAAAATACCCATGACTGGGCTAAAAAGCAGTGCACTCACCTCTATCTAGCGCTGGCGGTGCATCGCCTGCCGTGTCGGGACTATCAGTGCCGCATGAAGCAGTTTCCGCTTTTCCTTTCTCATCCATACCTAGCGCTAGATACTCTCCTACGCTCATTTCTCCAGACCCACTTTCTGGACGCCGTTTCTTGCAGCGACTGGTCATCGTTTTCTGAAGGAAAAAGCACTTACTAAATCACTAAGGGTGGAGGATTTCTTTTATTTTGAAGAATTCACAACCACAACCTGATTGAATACTTGAAAGTCATCATCATAGCAGCCGCCAAGAAGGTACCCAAATAACCCAGTCTACCAATACCCAGTCTTGATTACTGACTTAGTAATGGATTACTTACAAAGGAAGCGTTTTTAGTCGAAGTGGCCTTTCTACATGAAACCTATATAACTTTATTAGTGCATTAAACGCTGATTCAAATCTGCCTTCCTTATCTGCCAAACCCCTATGGATGCCGAGTTATGATTGTTTTTTGGAGCAAAAAATGGACACAAAATTCAAGTAAAAATACTCGCAATCATTTCCAGCTTAATTACCGCGGTGTTGACTGTGAGGGTTTTAGGCAAGAGATATTCATTGACTGAAGTGCACTGATACTCAGTAGTTGACCATTTGAGCAACTCTGGACGATTTTGTTTCAAATTCAATCTAAGCAATGTTCATGACTCGGCTTCGAGAGGCGTTTGTCGGATAAGGAAGACAGTTAGAGTTCAACTCTCTACAAAGTGATATAGGCGTCATATAAAAAGGCCACTTCGACTAAACACGCTTCCCTTTAGTTCAGAGCTTCTTCTCATGAAAGATGGCTATGCAAATCGTTAAAAATACATGCGCGAAGAAAAATTGTTGTGAAACTAAAATCCCTCATTAAGACGAGACTGCGGGCAGCTTAAAACTTCTCAGACAGCTTATTGCGAAATACGCTCTGCTACTCATACAATGACTTATCTTGTGACAGCCTCAACCCGGAAACGGGCGCTAAAGACACGCATTATGCTCATCTAAAGAAAAAACGCTACGACTCCATAAAATAAAAAAGCTTATTCATGATTGCTTCATAGCATTGCAGATATTCCTGGATGATATGCACATGCAAGTGTCATGAATATACTCAAAAAAGTAAAAATGGGCGATGAAAATAAACCTTTAACTCCAGAAACTAACCACATGCTGTTGCATTTGTTGCTGGTGTTGTTGCTGTT